GGGGGGCGGGGAGGTGTTGATGTCTCAGAAGCCCAAGCCGGGTAGGGGCCCCGGTGTCATCTCTTGTATACCATACTCATAATTTGGACCATTTCTCGATTTATGCGTGTCATCCTTGCGCAGGGCCCATGCTAATCTTCTCTGTATCGTTCCAATTTTAATCAAAGCCTGGGGTACCAGCGCGGCAAAGCCACACCCCAATGAATCTCCCGCTATAACATGGGAAGATGCAGCGCCCTACCTTTTTAAATTTTATTTTCTGCATCTCAAGAGCAGCGGAGGGATCTCCCTCCCTACCTCCCTACCTCCCTGCCTCCCTCCCTCCCTCTCTCCCTCCCTCTCCCTCCCTCTCTCTCTCTCGCAGGCTCTCTTGTGCGCACGTGCCCCTCCTCCCATGGCACTCCCATCTTCCCCTGTGCACGACCCACCCTCATTTTCGCCGAGCCTACCGGAAATATAGCTTGGGTTCGCTGTGTACGGGGAAGAGGGATCTCTCTCTCTCTCTCTCGCTCTCTCTCTCTCTCTCTCTCTCTCTCTCTCTCTCTCTCTCTCTCTCTGTGTGTGTGTGTGTGTGTGTGTGTGTGTGTCATGATAAGCCATGGGATGACAAGCAACAGCGAAGGACAAAGGCTGGAGGACACAGGGGAGGTGGAAGGGCGGACGACACACAAGCGAACTAAGCAGGCGGGAGGGCAGACAACATGCAAGCACACGGAACAGGCAAACAGGAAAAAATACAAGTCCCCCCCCAAAAAAATCATCAACCACCAGTACCTCCGAGCCTGTTTTTGCCGACCCTGAATTTCACTGCGCTCCGAGTTTGCCGAGCCTGGGTACCACTCCGTTTTCTTTCTGGTACTCTCACGGAAAGAACAAACAAAAAAAATAAGTGTGCCCTCAGTGCGGGCATCTCAGCCCCGTGGCCAGGTTGTCAGATTCGAGAAAGAGAACAGAAGGGGGAAAAAATGGGCACACGGATCCGGCCGTGAAAATGGCTGGATACATTCCCCTTAGGACCAGTGTGATGAGTGTTACAATCCTCTGACAAAACACAGCTTGAGCAGATCACGGACGCCTTGAGCAATTCACGGATTCCCCCCTGCCTCATTGGCAGGGGACTTATAAGAAACACAGGAGCAAGAAAAAAAAGAAAACAGTAACATCTAGAATGTGACCGCCTTACCGGTGAGGTGCATTCAAGACTACCCTGCCCGACATCATTGCAGTAGAGATAGTTTTTTTTGTTTTTTTTTCTTCTTTTTTTCCTTTTTTTTTCACTCGCGGGCAATATAAAAATCTGATTATGGGACAGTGCCGAACCTGTGTCCCACCCCCGAAAAGTTCAGGTACTGGCCAAGACATTGTAATTTCCCAACACTGGCGGAATAAGACCGAAAAAAAAAAAAAAAGGCAGCCAAGTCATTGGGTAAGGCACGGGTAGTCAACTCATGGCGGACAGAAGGGCAGGAAGACCAAGGAAGCAGGCAAGGAGAGATCAGGAGAGTCATACACCCCCAGAAATTAAAATAATGTCATGGAATGTAAATGGCTTAGTAGGGATATTGGACAATCAAGATAAATGGCAAAATATCTGGGCTGGGCCACCGCCCGGCCGGTTGGGCCCCGGCCGGTTGGGCCCAGGGGGGTCCGCCCGG